ATTAAAAATATATAGAAACCTGTATACTGTCATTCATTGGGTTTAGATCATAAGTGTTAAAGTATCTACTCTAAGTAAATACATCTAAATTAACTCTTTATACCTATAACAAATGGCATACTCATATATAATAAATAAATATATTGTAACTTAATATTAAATATAGCTATTTTATTTTTATATATAAAACCCAGTCAAGAATTTATAGCAATAAAATAAAATACGCATAGTTGAGAAATCATGTGTATGCATCAACTTATCTCTATACAAAGCTTAATTACCAAATAAAAGATTTCTCACACCACTTATCGCTATGGAGTTTAATTATCAAATAAGAGGCTGTTGTATTGCTATTGCAAATATGAGAATTAAACTTCAAACAAGAGATTCTTGTATTGCTATTATAGCTATGGTGCTTAATTATCAAATAAAAATCTTGTACAACTATTGCTATGAAGTCTACTTATAAAATAAATAGTCCTTATACTGCAATTACTATAAAGTCTAATTACAAATATAAGATTCTTATATTGCTCTTATAGTCTCAGAGTTAATCACTAAATAAAAGATTTTTATGCTATTATCATTATGAAACCCAATACCAGTAAAAGAAAGTCTAATTGCCAAAATGATATAGAGGGTTTAAATAGGTAACCCTCTAGTTGAGTTATAGGTATAGCATCTAGTGTAGAACTTAGTAATAAGCGAACTACTTAAATAGGCAATCAAAAGTTATACGTGTAGTTAGTATATATCTTCCAAAAATATGTATACTGTACGGGCGCCGAGAGGGGCTTAGCGTATGGTAAAAAGTTAACCAGTAACTGAATAAAGAGACCCGACCAAGAGGTCACCTTAACACCAAAAAAAAAAAAAACATATTATACACATAATTCATTGTATATATATTCAAATTTATTTATACAAATTTAATTATATAAAAACTATATTGTGCACAAATTTTAATAAATTATGTGACTGTACACAAAATTCGCATAATTTTTGGTCCAGATTTTATACACTGTTAGAGATTAGTATACAAAAAAAATCAAATTTCAGAATATGATATAATGTGGAAATTATGCATTTTTCAAAAATCGGTCGTAACTCAAAATTTTGCCTATTCCATTCATCATTCCGGTTTGACGTTCAACATACATTTCATCATCACTTATTTGACTAGATTTTGAATATCATCTGGATTTAACTTTTTTCATTTGGTTATAGGCTTCATTTTTGGCGCGGGAAAATCGAGAAATTTTGTCTGCATCTTTCGGTGATATATATATATAGATGGTAAAAAAATAACCATAAATAAAATAAAAATGAAACACAAGAAATCACCAAAAACTTGTAAATTTGATAGGAAAACTAAGTTTTAATCATTAAGTAAAGTTTCCAGCATAAAAATTTAGGTGTATCGATATTGTTTCTATGTTGGATTAATGCATACATTAAGTAATAAATCGCAGCAGAAGGGTATAAATTTCATAGTAAAAATTACACTTTCTTTCATATTGTGGGAATACCAAAAATTTCTGATAATAATATAGAAAATAGTTAAAAAGAGAAAAGCACCAATAACTCGCGATGTATAATAATTGGATCTCTTGCAGTATAGGTGACACTATTAATAAAATGTATTATTAAAAATTGATTTAGTTGATTAGAAGAGGTGCCACCTATACTACAATACTGCAAGAGATCATAACAATTTTACCATGATTTATAACATCTCGTAGAAGTCCAAGAGAAATTTGCTTAAAGAGATCCACAGGTCCAAAACATGTATATAGGGTACCCGATAGCTAACTATTGGCGCCAAAAATCTGATCTATATTGGCAATCATCAAAAAATATCAGAAGTAAAAAATAAATATCGGGTATCCCGATATTTATTTATTTTTACCTGATATACTTCTGACATATCACAAATATCGATATCAGACTTTTGGCGCCAATAGTTAGCTTCGGGTACCCTATATACATGCTTTGGACCTGTGAGAACTTTTCATTATAAGCTAGCTGCATTTCAACGTTATAAAAAAACTAAAATAATTTCCAACGACTTTTTACTATAAAACTTGCTATAAATTTTTTATACCTTTAGCCGTGATTTACCTCTTAACGTTAAATGTTCACAATAACACCGAGGATCAACATTGTCAGCCACAGGGCCAAAAATTTTTTGCGCATATCGATATTGCACTCTTCCTGCTCAGAGATAATCTTCATCTGAATAAATGATATATTATATAAATATTTAATTATTTATCAAGATTATTTTTTTCTCTAATTTTTACAAATAGCGATGGGTTTAAGATTATGTCTGCAAGTATAGAATTGACGCCTTTTTGTGACTAAGCTTTCTGAAAGAATGCCCATTATTGGTGAATTTAAAAGTGGTTTATCATTTCGGAGCATAATAATTCCAAGCTGTTCGCGAGATTTCGATGGCAAAAAGCCCAGAATGTTCTAGTTTATATAATGATCTACATATGACATAACGATAATAGTTTTTACTTGAAACTGTCAAACTGTTAAGTAGTCTAATACGTCATTTAAATGATATCATATCTTAAATGGTGGTAACAAAAAAACGTACTCATATAATAATAGCAATTGTTTGCCGGCAAGTATACTCACGAGTCATCTACAAATTCAATTTTTAAATCAACACATGAAAAAAACTTAATTTCTCATCTCAAACTTAATTTCTCAAACTTAATTTCTCATCTCAAACTCATCCCAAATTCATCTCAAACTCATTTCAAATTCATCTCAAAATCCTTTTTACCAAATCTCACTTAAAATACTCCGGCACCCCATTATCTAAATGTCTATCAACAATGATTCAACTTGCAAGGAACAATATGTATCATTTTCAATGCCAAATACTGAGCATCTAGCAGATAGGCCTAAGGTTCTAAAACGTCGAAAGACGCCTTATGTTTGGGGTGACAAATTGAATCCTGCTTTTGATGACGATGATGAAGGATGGCAAGACATTAATGATACAAGCAGCGACAATAACAGCAAAGATAAGATTGAAAGCTGTGGGAATATGGGTAGAAAAAATATGGGAGAGAGAGGCGACAATGAAATGGATGAAAATTTTAAAGATGGAGGAAATTTAAGGATGAAGAAATAGATAGCATTTAACGATTGTTGGTTTTGAAATTTAGCAGACCGGTGTTTTTTATTTCCTTAATGCGTATATATTATTATCAATTTCCAGAACTGGAATGAATATGCAGTAAAAATCACTGATTGTGTATATATGGACGTGCGTCCTTTTACATGTATATTAAAATTATTGCAATTATATAGCAACAATGTGAATAAATAATTTTCGTTTTATCACGAGAAATATTCTTGATCGGATGAATTCTAAATTTCCTGCTTTTATTAGACATGATGCATTTTCACTTTCTAATAAATTCGATGAACTTGTACAATTTGGATTAATCCGTAGAAATACCTACCGACATACCCGATTTTGTATTATAATTCGTACGTACGTATTTGAAATTTTAGCGTACGTACGTAGAAAGAAATTG